TTTTACTTTTTTGGGCTCCATGATCACTGCAGATGGAGACAGCAGCCACAAAATTAAAAAACGCCTGCTTCTTGGGAGGAAAGCGATGACAAACCTTGATAGCATCTTAAAAAGCAGAGACATCACCTTGCCAACAAAAGTCCGAATAGTCAAAGCTATGGTTTTTCCTGTCGTGATGTATGGAAGTGAGAGCTGGACCATAAAGGCTGACCACCAATGCTTTTGAATTGTGGTGCTGGAGGAGGCTCTTGAGAGTCCCCTGGACTGCAAGGAGAACAAACCTATCAATTCTAAAGGAAATCAACCCTGAGTGCTCACTGGAAGGACAGATCCTGAAGCTGAGGTTCCAATACTTTGGCCATCTCATGAGAAGAGAAGATTCCCTGGAAAAGCCCCAGATGTTGGGAAAGTGTGAAGGCAAGAGGAGAAGGGGATGTGAGAGGGCAAGATTGTTGGACAGTGTAATCGAAGCTACAAGAATTTGACCCAACTCTGGGAGGCAGTGGAAGATAGGAGGGCCTGGCGTGCTCTGCTCCATGGGGTCACGAAGAGTAGGACATGGCTAAATGACCATGATAATTTTTCAGGATGCTTGTAGTATAAGCCCTGTCCCAAAAATAAGCCCCAGTTAAGTGAAACCCTGCCCTCCACCATTGTGCAGCAACTGGAAGATGACACAAGTGCATTTGAATAAATTTACATGACAAAAAATAAAACTTCACCTGAAAATAAGCCCTAATGCATTTTGTAACAGAAATATAAGACCCTGACCATGATAATTTTTCAGGATGCTTGTAGTATAAGCCCTGTCCCAAAAATAAGCCCCAGTTAAGTGAAACCCTGCCCTCCACCATTGTGCAGCAACTGGAAGATGACACAAGTGCATTTGAATAAATTTACATGACAAAAAATAAAACTTCACCTGAAAATAAGCCCTAATGCATTTTGTAACAGAAATATAAGACCCTGTCTTATTTTCGGGGAAACACAGTAGATCAGCTGCTTCAGTGAAGCTTCTGTAGTATATGCTCCCTGAGCAGCTTGGCTGTTAGCATTTTGAACCAGCTGAAGACAGCCACAGCCTTGAGCTTGCAAGAGCTGAGCTGTTACTAAAAGGCCATTCTGGAGGTCACTAATTCAGTGTTGCTGTAAATAAGATACCTTAATGGCTTGAAACAACAAAAACCATTTACCATTGTGAACAGGGGTAAAAAATCAAGGCATCAAAAGAGGAATAAACCAGCCAAAGTCATCAAAGGTAGGCTAAACATCTAGATTCCATGAAAGCAGTGGTTCCCAACTTTGTGTCTCCTTTTGAACTTGTTTTTCATTTTACCTATTTTTCATATATGCCCCTAATTTTAAATTGTGCAACGCTCTGATGTGAATGAAGAAAGGCCACATGCAAGTCAGGCTGTGGGACTTGGCACACTTATTAGCTTTATTTGTGTGAAAGCAACACTAGCTAAACCGTGTGGACAGAGACAGCGATCTCCTTTTGGGCGCCGTGGTCAACTTGCGCTGCTTAGCCGACAATCATCCCCTCGCGGAAGCAACAGAACTGGCGCTTTCGATAGCCACATCCGTTGACAGCTCATACAGTTACTTCCGCCGTATAAGAAACTCCCATTATTTATTTATTCATCCCATTTCTCTGCCAGTTATTTAGACTCTGGAATGCTGGCCGCGCGCAACAAGCGACGAGAGGGAATTCGGACGCTCGCGCCAAGACCGTTAGCAGCGGCTCAAAGAGAGCGGGAGGAGGCGGCAGGGAGGGGGGAGACCCTCCTCTAACTCCTCACCGCGGATGCGCGTCATGACGTCATTTCTCCGGACCGGAAGTGAACGGGAAGTCCGTGTCGCCTCTGAGCTGAAGAGAAGGAAAAGGCGGGACAAGTCCTAACAAAACAGTGAGGCGAGAAGCGGCGGCGCGTCTCCCGGTAACAAGGTTTTGTCCCGCCCCCTTCCCCGGGAAGGGAAGCAGCAGGTAGGTTGCAGCCCAAGCGTCGAGCTTGCGCTTCCGCCCACGGCGGCGGGAGCCCGAGCCGCTCCTCTCCTTTCCCTTGCCCGCCACTCGGGAGAATGACAGGAACGGGGGTTCAGCCGCCGCCCTCCTCCTCTTTCCCTGAGTTGTGCGTGACGGACGGCGGCGGCTCCTCTGGGCTGCGCACCTGGCCTCCTGGGAAGGAGCAAGCACGTGGGAAGGGGAGAGCCTCCTCTCCCTCTCTCTCCTCCCCCCCCCGCCCCGTCGCCTCTCCCGGCACCGCCTGCCCTCGCTCCCTTCTCAGCCTTGCTCAAGGAGAGGAAGAGGCGGCCGCCGCCCGCCCTGGTGCCTCGGAGCGCGTAGCAGACTCGCGCTTGCGGGGCAGCAGCTGCTGCTTCTCCCTCCTCCTTGGCTGAAGTGACCAGAAAGCGAAGGGCGCCTCCGCTGCCAGAAGTCAAAGGCGCTTTCGAGGCCTGCCTTCCCCTCTTGGGCGGAGGGGCGAGCAGAGGCGCTGTGTCAAGAGGTGGGCAGGGAAGTGCGAGGAGCGTGTCGGGGCCTCGCCTGTCAAGACCCTGCTACCCTTTCTGGTGGGCAGCAGGAATTCCTGCCGCATTCCTTCAAAGCGTGTGGAGATTAATAGCCTCCAGATCTTGTGGCTGAATCTTGTTCTGTGGCCAGTTTTAAAGAAGGAGTTACTCCAGTTGGAGTCTTCTCTTCACTCACTGTAGGAAAGCTATATCCCCACTGGCATAAAGCTAATACTGAGTCGCCCAGGTATTCTGTTCTTGACTTACCTGCCCATCTCTGTGTTGTTTTCTGGAGAGGATTGTTTAGAGGTGGCTTATAGATGAAGCAGGGGATTCTTCACACCAAATTTGGGGTGGTAATAACTGCCGCCCCCTCGTATCATGACCTTGAGCAGACTAGCTCTGCAAAGGTAACTCAGGGCAGATATCAACAGGAAGAAGAGACTCAGTTTTTTTTTAAATCCAGAACTGCAGCTTTTCCTAAAAGAGTGAGATAGGTGTGGAGCTCTCATTGATGCTCATCATTTGTCACTCAGTTCAAATAAGGTGGTTCAAGCCACTTGGAATTTGGCTTCAGCCTGGCAACAGACTCTAGAACATAGGAATCTAGGATGTTTTAAGCCATGCTATTACTTCATCAAGGGCAACTTTAACCACACTAAACTGGAATAAATGTGCAGTACCTAGTTATAGCAGGCACATACCAGTTTAAAAGTTCTGGTTCCATCGTGTAGCATCTTGGGATATGTAGTTTTGTTAAATACTTAGAATGCTCTGGTCAGAGGAGTGAACTCCAGCAGAGAATTTGAAGTTTCTCATTTACAAATGCCAGGATTACTTATGAGAGAAAAGTGGTGTCAGTCTGATACAACTGTGTGGTACAGTCTTGATTTAGCAAGGAAAGTTTTCCCAGACCTAGTAGAACTTGCCTGGGATTGAGCCTGTGACAGTTTGCACACAAAACATGTATTATACCACCAAGTTACTGCAAGAAGAAACTATTTCTTCTTTACCTGTTTATTTTCTAGTTGTGGATTGGAAATCTATTTAACACAGTATTATATGTAATGTACATGGCATGTGATAAGTATAAACATTTAAGTATGAAAGATTAAGTACAGTGGTGCCTCACTTAGCGATTGCTTCATTTAACAACAAAATCGCTTAGCGATGACTTTTTTGGAGCGTTTTTACGCTTCGTTTAATGATGGTCCCTATGGGCAATTTTCGCTTAGCGATGGTTGGGACCATGCTTCGCATAGTGATTAAATTTTGGGTCCCCTGTTTCGCTTAATGATGGTTTAAACAGCCTCATGTCTGCTGTTTTTAAAATGTTTTTCTGTTATTTATAAAGCTAAAGTTTACTGTTTAAAATGTTTAAAATCATAAAGTGCAGTTAATAAACCCTTTGTTAACCAAATTTGACTTTGTTCTGACTCTTTTTTAATTTGTTGTTGTATTTTCCCCCCCATTGAGATGCATTGAATAGGTTTCAGTGCATTTCAATTGGGGAACTGCGTTTCGCTTAGCGATGTTTCCTATGGCAATTTTCGCTTAAGGACGGCAATTTGTTCCTATTGGAACGCATTATCCGGTTTTCAGTGCATTTCAATGGGAAATCGCGTTTCGCTTAGCAGCGATTTTTTGGGAACCAGTTAACATCGTTAAGCAAGGCACCACTGTAGTTGTAGATCTTGGATATGAGCTAGGAGAGATGTATCTTTGGGTTCTCCTTGAAAATTCAGGTCTTCCCTCTTCACCCAGTAAAGTTGCCACCAGAATCCCATGTGTCCATTATGACCTGAATTTGAGACTCCACTGAGAATCATGGTGGCCTTTGTCTGGTCTCTTCCTTGTGCCATTAAAAAAGATTGGAGAACTGGTATTGCTTCTATTTTTTTGCTTTTTCCTGTGGTGCTAATAGCAAGTTATTTGTTCCACAGTAAATTATAAATTCTTCTTCCACACTTAGAAATAAGTTCCCTACTTCATTACTATCATGAACCCATAATAATGAACTGTGGGGTGGCATGTCCTTTTATTTCAGAGTTAGAAGTATCTAGTATTTGTTCCAGGTCTTCACCAAAAGATTGCAAAACCTTCAACATAAAGCGATTTCGTCGTAAAACGGAGCACTCATAATGCGAGGAACCACTGTATACTATATGGCACTGTCATTCTAATCCTATAATACAGTTTTAGGATTGTAGTTCTAGCATAGCAGTTTATTGAAAACTGGTTTACACTTGCTGGGAAATACTGATCTTCCCACACTTTCTGAAAATGTGTTAAGTTATATTTAGCTTAATGTAAACTGTGGCCTTGTTTCATAATGAGTATTTTTCTGATTTTTTAATCCTTTGATATGCAGTATTTTTATTAAGTACTCAAGGATTATGTATAATAAGGTATATGCTGCAAACATAAAATCAAAGTCACTTTTCTTTGATATTTGACGCCATATTCTGAAAAGTACTGTATGTACTTGTGTGTACAAATTTCTTAAATATTTGTCCACTCTTTCCGAAAACATACAGAATTCATATTTGAATAATATGTTTAAATATATGTAATCACAGTGAATTTCATGTGTCTAAAAGGCAGCTTCACATCTTTAAAGTAAATTAGTATTTAAATATATTGAGCCAAAAACCTGATGTGTTCTAGGAAAAGGTAGCTGAGAACTTTTCAGTTAGATTTGGGTTACAGTTGTGGCATTTATTTCCTTCTCCCTTGCCAAATATCCTCAAAATAGCTTTCATGTAAAATATAGCTATTCAGAAAAGCAGCCATTCACATTCCTTTTTTTAGTCACAACCCTGTTAGGAGCTATTCTCAGGTTCCAGGCCCCCTTTTCAAACAGGGATACAGCATGAAAGATGAATAGAAAATTCCCTTTTCACATTTTTCAACCTGTGTCCCATTTTAAATGTGCCAGCGCCCCTTGGGGTCTATACAGCCCCCCTTGAGAATGTCTGCAATAATGTATGTAGATGATATGTAAAATCTCTGCTTTATTTTCTGTTTTAATTTCAGATCTAGATAGTTGAACTGTCATATTGATATATTGTTATTGGGATCATGTGGGTTCTGACTTTTTTATTTTTAAACGCCTTGGACTAATTTGTCCACTAGAGGGGCAGTAAATAAATATTCATAACATTTAGCTTCATTCCAGGTCATTCTATGACTGAAGTCATTCATGTGTGTAAAAGGTAGACACATGTTATTCTATGATATCATAAAATGATATGCCTGTTGAGAAAAAATGTAAAGATTTAAATAAAATAATGTAGATTCTAAAGTAGTATAAGTTTATAATAATAAAAGTCTTAGAGATAGGCAGATCACTAGCAGCAAAGAAGGAAGGTAAGTATGAGTGAGAAGATAGTGAGCCAAAGGATTAGTGATGCCCACCGCTGTCACTGGCTAGTGGCAGAATGCCTCCATATTGATACCTCTCTCAGTACCAATTGCTGGTAAAAGAGTGGAGAGGCACAGCTGTAATTAGCTAATTTTTGTGTCTCAGGCAAAATATAAAATGGTTCCTCGCTTGCTGTACCAACACACTCCTTAGCTGCTGTGTTTAAAAAGTGAAGAGAATGGGAAAGCAGTCAGCATGGTATCAGAAACCTACATGAGGCTGCATGAAAATTTTATAATTGCAGTGCTTGGTCCAAATTGAATACATATATGCTGGTGTTCAGTTGTTTCTACTCAGATAAGCTCATTAGGTCTTTAGGGAAGAGAGATTTCTGCTAGTTTGCTAGAGAGAGGAGTAAGTGTAGTGAACTTATCCGGGTAGGGAATGGCTCAGTAGAACTTACGGAATGTGCCCTGATATTAATGGTGTATTACATTTGGGATAGTAGATGCATATATAAGTACTATACGGTATATAATTTCTGTGGGATGTAAATTGCACATTTGAGGAAAGTGCCTCACTTACTTTGGCCTTGCTATGACCTTGAGAGAGGTACTAATGCATTTTTGTCCTGTTTGTGAGCTTTATATAGGCTACTGGTTAGTCTTTGTAAAAAGGCAGTGCTGAACTAAAGTGACTTTTTCTGATCTGGCTTCTTGTGTTCATTGGGGAAAAGCATTAGAAGCATGGAATGCCAGGACATGTCCAGAAAATGGGGTAATCAAAAGAAAAGGTGGAGAGTCGAAGCATATGTAGATACAAATACAGAAGGAATGTTTTGTTTTGCCAAAGCACAAATCAACAAGTTAATACAGTGAATCCATTCAGAATCCATTCAGAACTAGAACATCTGGTTTCATATCCATAGATTTCATACAGGTTCACATGTAGTTGTCCATTGCCATCACAGCCATTACCAAATTAGGAAACTGTCCAAACTAGGAAACTGTCCTAGTCCTTCTTGCTGACTTCTACATAATATTTATTTCTTAGGTGTTTGCCCCCTCCAACTTTTTAAGGTCTTAGTGATTATATTCAGGAAGCAGTCTGAACAAAACTTTGTGCAAATTCCAGACTTTCTTTACTTCCTTTTCCAGCTCATCACCTCAAGATTGATGCACATTTTCTTTGTTACTTTAATCTGGCTGAGAATTTGGATAAGCATGGCACAACTCCAACAAGGAGGTCCTGATGAAAAAGAGAAGACTACAGCTTTAAAGGGTACAGATTAATTTGGAACTTCTGCATAGGCACTCCGTAGACTGTGTTCTGATGAACTGTAATTTTGTGGTTAGTAAAACAGGTGAGCAAGTGCAGATGAGTACAACCCACATTTATGGCTTCAATAAATTTCTTACTCCTGACCATAATTCAGCATTTCTGGTTCACCTCTGTGGAAAAATGAAGTATTGGAAAAGCATTGGAAATTTGGGAATTTCTCAAAGTAAAGGGGATTGGGTTGGACTCGATTGCCTTATAGGCCCCTTCCAACTCAATTATTCTGATTCTATGAAAGTTGGAAATTTGGGAACAATTGACATTGCAACTATTTATTTTCTCTTTCATAATCATGAGTAACATTCTTTAAGATTTGATATTGGAAAAGTATGTCCAAATGTTATTGAGCATAGAAATTTAAAATACTGTATTCAGTCCAGAGCAGTAATCTGAGAACCTGGCAACCCTGCTTGTCCAACTGTTAAATGGTGGCAAGACTTTAATGTGATATAGGGTATCTCCTGTAAGTTCTGTTTTATTTGAGATTCCTTTTACCTTCTTCACCATGTGCTAGAAACTGATATATGTTTGAAATATATAATGAAGGAGCAAGTATGTGAAACAGTTGAGAATCACTTACAGTATTTCACAGTTTAGAATCAGAAGATTCTAAGATCTTCAACTTGTTCTAAGATCTTTAACGTGAATTACAGAAATAAATTTACTGTTCTGTTAATTCCAGTAATGTATTGGGAAAAATCTTGTTGCATAAAGTTATGCCGCTGAAGCGGATGATATCATTATCAGCACAAGATTAGTTGAAAGCATCTCCCCCTTTTTTCATTCTGAGGCTCCCTGAGGAAGCCTTTGGAAGCTACTGAATGGCAAGAGGAATCTTTAATAGGGGAAAATTGCCTCTAAGATCAGAACTACTGGCAGTTTTTTACTACTAAATACTTCCACCCATCCTAAGGTTTCACTAGGGCAAAAGGGAGCCTCAGATAGGAAGCTTTCAGTTAATTTAAATTAAACTTTATTGGTGCTGGATGATGATACTGTAGTACTTATTCTGTGGTCACCCTCTTAATCCAGGAAATTCTTAGCATCCTGTCATAAATCCTCATTTCATATGCTTGTATGTTTTAGTAGTATCTGTGTTAAAGTCCACATTCATAGTATCTGTGTTAAAGTCCACAATCAGTGAGGATACATCATACCATACAAAGCACATTCTTAAACTCAGTTGTGTTACATTTTACAATTCTTCATCTTTAGGAAGCTGATTGGGAACATCCCTGTTCTAACTTCTTTTGCAGAATTCTGATTTCTTTCTTCATTTAACCACAGTCATGTTAGCCAACATTTTTCACATTTTCATCTTGGATCTTCAACTACATTTTTTGAGCTGCTAGATATTTATTGATTACTATGAACGTAGTTTTCATAACCTTTATTTGTAGACAGTGTTCATTTTTGACTTAATTGACTTCATTTGCCCTTGTAAAGTCTATCATGTAAGAAAATGTTAAACAAATGGCTTATTAATGCCTTTTTTGTTAGCTGTATTGTATTTTGGGTTTTTGTATTTCAGATCTAGTATTGAAATCTGTTACAATAAATTCTGTTCATCTTCTATATTTATTGTTCTTTTTCACGTCACACTTTTACGCTTCATGTGAACTAACAGGGAAGAACTGCTGCCCATCAAAAGTGTTCATTGTTATTTTAAAAATATTTCTGATGTCTTTTGGGTGTTTTTATGTGTATTAATGGAACTGTAAGTCATCTTTAGTTTTCTGCCTATCACAGAGAAGGATTGTTTGAGGATAAAATGAAATACCTTAATACGTTCTTGAGTTCTTTGAAGGAAATATGGGATATAGATAGAACCATAAACCTGTTGCCTCATGGTACAGTGGTTAAACTTTAGAACTGCAGTGAAGATTCTGCTCACAACCTGAGTTTGATCCCAGGCTCAGGTAGCTAGCTTGCCATTGAGTCAACCTTTCATCCTTCCAAGGTCAGTAAACTGACCTTGCCGTTGAGTCAGCCTTTCATCCTTCCAAGGTCAGTAAACTGAGTACTGAGTTCATGGGAATGGGGGGCAGCGTGTGGCCTGCATAATTAAATTGTAAGCTGCCCAGAGAGAGCTTTAAGCACTATGGGGTTGTTTATAAGCAGCACACTTTGCTTTGCTTTTGTCTTTTAGAAACAATGTAGTATTCACATGGAACCTCACAGGACTCTTTCCTCATGCGTTCGACAGGGTAGTCAAATTCACCCATCTCCCACTATGTCACTGGTTGATTGACCATACTGTTCCTTCCCTTCCCTGAGACAGAAAGCCTGGTTGTTTATCATCATTTTCTTAGTACAAGTGACTGGGCAAATGTCTGGTTACAAGATTTTGATGTAATGTAATTACAATTATGCAATGATGCAATTTTTAACAGAGTATATTTCATATAAAAATCCAGTAGTAAATGGCAGCTAGAGTTAGTGGAACTTGTATGGATGCTGATTCACTAAATCCTCACTGCTTTAATAGGGCAACTGTAGTTGTGACTTATTACTGGATTCTATTTAAAATCTGAGCTTTAATAAATTCAAAATTATATGAACTACAGGATTCCCAAATTGTGTTTTTTATGCAGTGCTTTATTTTTATATACAATTCAGTTTAAAATACCTTTTTAAAAAAAAAGTCATTTGATGTTAAATGTCTAGAAAGACAATCTTTCTCCCCACCTTTTTTCCAGACTTGTTGTCTAGAATAGATTTGGATGAACTGATGAAAAAAGATGAACCACCTCTTGAGTTTCCTGATACCCTTGAAGGATTTGAATATGCTTTTAATGAAAGTAAGTAATACATGCTATAAGAACTCACTTAGAAGTGATAGAATAATAATATTTTTTCTAGATGTCTGATTGGTAGTGGACTAAGTTTCATGCCTTTGTATAACTAATTGAAATAATGTAACTAAGTTACTAAGCTGGAAAAGTCAAGTATATCCCCTCCATTTTCACCTGATGTAGACAAATGCATATTTTTACATTATTTCAGCTTGTCCTTGGGTCATAATAAAAATATGAACTCAGTTACAGAGAACTTAGTGATGTTTCACTGAATTTTTGTATTCAACTGCTTCCCAACGTGCTGGTTTGTAAACAGTCTGTTTTACATCAGTGGTCATTATTACATAATATACTCTGCAACAAAGTATTACTCTGTGAACATAAATATCGAATGCACATCTTTTTGACTGATGAGATTCAGAGTTGCAGTGGCAGTTGTGTATGTTTTTAACTCAGATGTAGCTGAAATGATTGAAGAAATCCTCAGAAGTCAAAGATCTTTATATATGCAGTGGAACTTATGGCAGAAAACTTTTGGAACAAATTGATCTATTTTGTTTTGGGATAGTGGCAGCTTAGGCTGCTGCATTTTAAGAGTGCCAACTAAGTAAATCTCAAATCTGCTCCTGAGGAGGACGTTCTGAATTCTTTTTGTCTTCTTCGTTATTAAAACATCTTAATTGCCTATATAGCCAGGTTTTCCGAACACTGAAAGACCACGGTCATTGTTGAACCTTACACACATACTCCTGTGAAGATTCAACTATACAGTATGTGCTTGTTTTAACGTGAACACTTGTTTGGTCATGTGTTTGCGTTTGTCTGTATTTTAAACTTGCACTTGAAAATGAAAAAAAAATCACAACACTTGTTTGCTGAAAATGTGTTAGTTGAATTCTTTTTAAAATCAAGTGGTGCATCAGTTCAAGGAACTAATCAAGTCTATTTAAATGTTGTTGGTTGCATGTTCTGTACTTCATGATAGCTATTTGGAAATGGTACAGCTCAGGGAAGTTCTACATTTTTAAACCTTTAGAGGTGTGCAATCCTTGATCTAATGAACAAGCTTGTTAGCATCCCATCCAAATACCTTTACTAGGGAACAAGTCATATTGAACATAGTAAAACCTAACTTCTTCGAGGCTAAAAGTCATGTTGCATGTAGTTGAGCTTCTGAAAGCAGGAAATAAAACTTATTCTCTGCTTCCCAAAAAGTTAGCAATGGGCCTAAGTAATGTTTTACTCAGACTAATCACAGTAAGGTACACAATTCTCATGTCAGCCAGACTGAAAATTAATATTTCAAATTGTAGTCATATGTTGACAGGGAATGTAGAAATGACTACTGACGTAATATCCACGTGGAGACCTGTGTTTTTCAGGAGTTAGCCCACATGGCCTGAGTTCTAACACAGTGGCTATGGATCGCTGTTTATTAAACATACATACTGTAAATATTTGCTGTCTCTGAAGAATAGATGTCTGTAATTATTGTCACCCTAAATTCTGTTACAGTTCTAGACTTCTGTGTCATAGGTACAATATATCTACATGTAAAAGTAACTTAGCTGTAATATGGTTGCTGTCCAACAAGCAGCCAATTAGTTGAGTGGCCTGACTTAAGGTTAAGCACAATCTCAATGTTTTTTGCTTTTGTCTTTTACTAATACATAGTTTACAGAAGACAGCATGTTAAGAACCACATACTAACTCCAGATACATTTTTTGGTATTTTGTTTGAAAATATTCTAGATTCTCAGTGCTTTCTATACTTCCCAGTTTTATGGGGAAAGGTTTGTCTTTAAATGTAGTCACGTAACACTTAGCTTTCAATGTCCTGATTCCTTTCTTCAGAAGATACAGTGGTGCCTCGCTTAACGAGCGCCCCGTACAGCGATGAATTCGCATAGCGATCCCTTTTCCGGGATCGCTAATGCGAAAGCATCACGTCGGCCCCAATGGGCGAAACTCGCATAGCGAAGATCGGTAAGCCTTTTGCTTACCAACCTTTGCTTTGCGACCCGCAGATCAGCTGTTCAGCGGGTCCACAATGGCCGCCGGAACACCCGAAATGGCCGGGGGCAGCGTTTTCGCGCCCTTGGTAAGCGAGGGGAGGGTGGGAAACCGCTGTGCGCGGCCATTTCGGGTGGTCCGGTGGCCATTTTGGGCCCGCCGCACCG